TAACAAGGTCTCACTGTTGCCTAAGATGGCCTTGAACCCCTTGGATGAAGCCGGTGAAGCTTTCTTGTAACCTCAGGCTCCTAGGAAGCTGAGATTGTATATGTGCACCATCACACTTTTCTCCAGAAAATGTGCAGGTTTTAAAATGAGAAGACAAAACTGTGTTTGAATTGTGTGTATACCGTTTAGAATTTTTCAGCACTGCTTTTGTAAGATCAAATAAGATAATGTATGCAGGAGTGCACTATGGGTGATATTGTTGGTGTAGTGGTTCATTGTGGAACAACCATTAAGCCTTTTCTCCATCATGCAGCAGCAGGATGGTTTTGCATTTCACCCTTCCCTCAGGTGTGATCTCTGATTAGGTAAGCCAGTTGTTTTGAAGTTGATGGACACAGTCTTAAAGGGTCATCGAAAAGCGGCACAAAGACATCCAAGTGCGTTCTGCATAGTCAGGATCAGTATTCTTTAAAATGTTGGTGTCACTTCTCTGCCTTTGTGTGGACTGAGTCTTACAAACTTCAGTTATGCATGGCGCAACAGCATTTTGTAACTCACCAGCCTCGCATGCTATAATGGTTCCACAACATTATAATGACATTGCACTCATTAATAAATTAGTTTGTGTTTGATGTTTGCACAAGGATGAACTTGCATAATGCATTTCTTGGAATGTCTTTGCATCTTTATACAGGGCATGACTCTTTGGGGGTTTTTATTTGTTTGGTACTTTGTTGTTTTTTGTTGCTGTTTTGGTACTTTGAGACAGGATCTTGACTGGCCCCACACTCACTGTATAGCCCAGGCTGCCTTTACCTCTCAAGTGGTGGGATCACACACGTGTGTTACTGCACACTGCAAGTCTGTTTCTTGTTGTGGCTTTCAGTTGAAGCTAGGGAACTTTGGTGCAAGCTAATGTTGTCAGTTCCATCCTTGCCAGTGACTGAGTGAGGAGCCCAGGTTGCAGTGAACTGCACATGGAATTCCATTCTGGGAACTAGTATTGATTCTGGAATGGCCTGTATTCCAAGCAGGCCTGGTCATCTTGAGGAAAGGACTTAGGGTTAGGCCTCCCTTGTCTCCGTGCGCATTCTCTCTCCCTTTGAAGCATGGTTCTTTATTCTTCTGCCTCTCAAGTAGAGAAGTATGCTGTGTTAAACCCGGGTGTAACCTGGGCACTCTGACAGCAGAACGGTGAGATTCATCACTTGATGCCCACTGCTTGTGACCTTCCAGAGACAGGGTGCTTCTGGTGTGGTTAAAGCCTCTTTTGAGCTGTTCTACTTGTATCTGAAGAACGTCACCCATGAGACTGGACAGCAGAAGTGTGCTGCCTGGGAACAAATGATGTGGCCCACTTTCTGCTTTCAGAGTCTGGATGAAAATCATACTGGTCTTTCATAGCTGAACTTGGGAATGAGTTATTCCAAGACTCATGAAACAACCAGGTTCATGTAAACTCAATATCTAGTGTTTACAGTATGTGCCACTTTATGAAACTTAAGTACTTTGCATAGAAACACCTCATTTTATGATTGAGACAGGCTCTCCCTGGGTAGGGGAGGCTAGTCCGTGATCGTTTGCCAACACCTCTCAAGCACTACTTTATGACTTCACATTAAGGGTTTTAACTCTAAGTGTTCTTGTCAGTGAACACTGGGCAATGGACACTGGAAGCTCCCACTGTCCTGCCTTCCAGTGACAAAGGAGGATGATCCCTGTCTCCCTTTCTCTCTAACAGCAGCTTTGTTGGGGACTAATTTGCACATGTGAAGTGTGTAACTCAGTGGTTTTAAGGATACACAGAGCTCTCTAACATCAATGTTGTTGTTGTTGTTGTTATTATTATTATTATTATTATTATTATTATTATTATTATTTGTTCCAGGAAACTTTCAGTAGTCAACCTAGATGCTGGCAAAACCCTACTTTTCTTAGTTACTTTTCAATTTTTAAATTTTTTTTATTTATGTGTGTGTGTGTGTGTGTGTGTGTGAGCATGAGAGTGTATGTATGTGAGTGTGTGTGTGAATGTGTATATGTGGATGTGTGTGTGTGAATGTGTATATGTGAGTGTGTGTGAATGTGTATGTGTGAGTGTGTGTGAGTGTATATATGTGTGTGTGTGTGTAGGTGTGTATGTGAGAGTGTGTGTGAATGTGTATGTGTGAGTGTGTGTGAGTGTATATATGTGTGTGTGTGTGTAGGTGTGTATGTGAGAGTGTGTGTGAATGTGTATGTGTGAGTGTGTGTGAGTGTATATATGTGTGTGTGTGTGTAGGTGTGTATGTGAGAGTGTGTGTGAATGTGTATGTGTGAGTGTGTGTGAGTGTATATATGTGTGTGTGTGTGTAGGTGTGTATGTGAGAGTGTGTGTGAATGTGTATGTGTGAGTGTGTGTGAGTGTATATATGTGTGTGTGTGTGTAGGTGTGTATGTGAGAGTGTGTGTGAATGTGTATGTGTGAGTGTGTGTGAGTGTATATATGTGTGTGTGTGTGTAGGTGTGTATGTGAGAGTGTGTGTGAATGTGTATGTGTGAGTGTGTGTGAGTGTATATATGTGTGTGTGTGTGTAGGTGTGTATGTGAGAGTGTGTGTGAATGTGTATGTGTGAGTGTGTGTGAGTGTATATATGTGTGTGTGTGTGTAGGTGTGTATGTGAGAGTGTGTGTGAATGTGTATGTGTGAGTGTGTGTGAGTGTATATATGTGTGTGTGTGTGTAGGTGTGTATGTGAGAGTGTGTGTGAATGTGCATATGTGAGTGTCTGTGAATGTGTATATGTATGTGTGTGTGTGAATGTATATATGTGAGTGTGTGTGTGAGTGTGTATATGTATGTGTGTGTGTGAATGTATATATGTGAGTGTGTGTGTGAGTGTGTGTGTGTGTGTGTGTGTGTGCTCGTGCGCTGAGGAAGTCAGAGGAGGGCATCGGATCCTTTGGAGCTAGAGTTACATGAGCTATTTGACATGGGTCCTTTGGAATAGCAGTGCTTTTAACCGTGGAGCCACCTCTCCAGCCTGTTTTTCTCATTTTTATGGATCGTCTCGGAATACTTCTTTGAGTGGACTCATACAGTACATGGCTTTTTGTGACTCGCTCTTTCACTTAACCATGCTTTTAGGGTTTATTTATGTCTTAACAGAATACTTTAGCCCTTCTTGCATTATTAAATATCTCACCATATGAATATACGTATTTTGCCTATGCATTCATCTCTTGGTGGATATTTGGCAGTTTTTCATCGTTTTGTTTGATATGAATAATGTTGCTGAGGACATACATGTGCAGTTGTTTTGTAGACATGTGTTTTCACTTTTCTAGGAGTTGAATTGCTGAGTCACAGGATTGCTCTGTGTGTAGCTTTGTGTAAAACTTCTGAACTGTTTTCCAAAGAGTCTGAGCCATTTTTTAAATTCTCCCAGCACCGTATGAAGGTTCTGGCACTTACTCTTGTCTTTGTTTTAGCATTCCTGGCAAATATGAAGTGGTGTCTCACTGACTTTTTTTGTTTTGTGCTGGGGGTTGAATCCAGATCTCTCTCTCTCTCTCTCTCTCTCTCTCTCTCTCTCTCTCTCTCTCGGTTGTTGGGTTTTTGAAACAGTTTCTCTGTGTGACTCTGGCTGTCCTGGAACTCACTTTGTAGATCAGGCTGGGCTTGAACTCACAGAGATCCACCTACCTTTGCCTACCAAGTGCTGGGACTAAAGGTGTGTACCACCACCACCTGTTGGAATCCAGGACTTTGTACTTGTTAATAAGCATCTCCTCTCCTACTTAGCTACACTTCCAGATCTTTAGTATGGATTTGATTTGATTTCTTTAATGACCATGTTGAACATACATGTGCTTATCAGCTATAAGTCTAGCATCCGTTAATTTATTTGAACCGATAACTTACAGCAGTTATGTCCTTTTCAGTGTCATTCAGAGCTTTTGGATGCTATCACCAAGAGATTGCTGTAATTAAAACAGTTGAAATGGAGATTATTGATGCCCAGACAGGCAAGTGGAAGACACTAAAAGCCCTGATAATATAGAACAGGCGTGATAAGATCTGGTGAGCTGAATTTTAACCCACAGAGTTCCCATGGTGTCTGAGCAGGTTTGTTTGAGGACTGACCTTTTCCAACAACTGATGCTGGTTTCTGGGCATGCCCCCTAAGCACAGTGCCTTATCAGGAATACACAGAACACATCTGTCTGGTATTGCAAGGTCTTGTGTGTGCTATCTTGACTGTGTGCTTCTTTTCCCTCCCTCATTAGGAATGTGGATATTTAAAGGACCTTAACTAGTTTAACTAGATCAGGAGAGTGATTTACATCTCTAGCTTATGCTTTATCCCTTATCATGGCAAATGCAGGCTACTGATTAACTTGATTAATTTGTGGGAGAGAGCATCTGTGGGATCAAAATAGCCATTTTGAGTGCCTTTTCCACACTCAGTGGCCGTAATCTGGGTGTAAGCTTTCAATGAGAGCTTTTGTGTTTATTAATACGAAATGGAGAAAGAACATAAGCAGAAGAGCTGTGAGAAGAGGGTGAGGGAAGGCAGAGAGGACTGGAAAGAGCACAGGCTCTGGTGTTTCAAATCGTAGCTCTGACATGTCTGCTCTGAGTGACCTTGGCCAACGTGTTCATCTCCGTGAAGTTTGTCTTCTCCCATGTCGAAGGGAATGGGTACAGTCTGTCTTTAGGATTGTGAAGGCAAAGGGAGGCACTGAGTAGAGAGCCTTTGGGCTGGCTCTTGGCATTAACAGGACTGTCTGATGATGCCATCCTTTAAAAATACTTCAAAATTATGTATTTTTTTGAGGGGGGGAAGAGTCGGGAGATCTTACATTGTTTAAATTGGATCATGTCAATCTTAACAAACCCTTCTGGTAATTTAATTTTATAAAGTGCACATAAAGCAAGTTTGGATTTCTTTTTTGAAGGATTTTTTTATTATGATAAAATGTGCTTGTTTAAAGAGATTCAAGACATTATTTTTACAGTTACATTTTACAGGGCTGGGGAGCTGGCTCAGCCAGTGAAGTGCTTGCTGTTTAAGCTTGAGGACCTGAATCGATGTGCCCAGTATTCATGTAATAAGACAGGCACTGCTGTAATACCTGTGCTGGGCAAGCCGGGCAGAGATGGTTTTATCCCTGGAGCTGGCTGGCCAGCCATCTACAACAGAACTCCAGCTTCAATGAGAGACCCTGTTTCAAATAAATCCTGTTTCAAATAAATAAATAAATAAATAAATAAATAAATAAATAAATACGAATTAATAAAATAAAGAGTTGTATCTGTGCCTTTAATGCTAGGGATTGAACTTGGGTTCTTGTGCGTGCAAGGCAAGTACTTATTACTGTACCACAGCTGCAGCTGCTCCTTTTATTTTTATTAGTGTGGCTATTAGACTAGGCGAGCGGCTCACATATTTCTACTGGACAATGTTGTGCGTTAGCTTTAGGTATTATACCATCTAGTAAGTTATTTTTGAGAAACTTGAAAATTTAAAGTTAATGTATCTATATTAAACCAAGATTTTAATAATTTCCTTTATAAAAAAGACTTGCCTTCTTATACTTAAGTAGATTTATAATTGGTTAAACAAACTTGAAGAATTTTAATAAAAGGATGGAGATGTCTAATGAGGAGAAGTTGTAGTTTTAGTAACCATGGTAACAGTACTGAGAAATGGTAACTGGGTGAGACAGTATGCTTTGCCATCTTTTATTCACTATTTTTAATAATTTTGTTTTGTTTGTTTTTGGAATAGGGTCTGTATATAGCTTTGGCTGTCCTGGAACTCTATGTAGGCTGACCAGGCTGACCTCAAACTCACAGAGATCTGCTTGCCTCTCTGCCTCTTAGTGATGGGATTAAAGGTGTGAGCCACCATGTCTGGCTTAATAAATTTTTTTGTTTGTTTTTTAAGTTAAAGTTTGGAGAAGAGTGTAGATTTATTCAGCAGTAAGAAATACTGTAGCATGATCTCATGTGCCCTTAACCCATCTTCCTTCAATGACGTTTGCCAAATCATAGCATTATGTGGCAACTAGACAGATGAATTGTATTAGTGTAGACATTCTGCTTGTGACATAATAGTGCTTTATTTGTACGAATTTGGGTATGCATTTAATACAGGCATTTAATACATTTTATCATGGGTGTAGGTCCCTTCTTCCAGCATGGTTAAGATGCAGAACAGTGTTGGGGATGGAGCCCAGGGGAGTGCTTGCTTGGCTTGCCACAAGGCCCTGGGTTCAAATGCAGGCCGGGAGTGGGAGGGGGTGGCAAAAAGATACAGAACTAGTTTGTCACCTGAAGCCTCCTGCTATAACCACACCGATTTCTTTTCCTTCTTTTCTTACCCTTGGCAACAGCAAATCTCCATTTTTATAGACTTGTCATTTTAACAATGTTACATAGAGTCGCATAGCACCTAACCTTCGAGATTGATTACCTTTTTTTCACTCAGCATGGTAACCTTGTGACTCATCCAGGTTTCGGTCTATACCAGTCAGTTATTTCATTAAACAGTTATTGTGGTAAGATATATGCAGTCTACTTAACATTTGCAAGTGTACAGTTCAGTGCTAAGAAATTCATCATCACCACTATCTGTTTCCAAAATGTTCCCAACATTCTCAAAAACTCCACTAGTTAAAAACTCCCTCCCCCTCCCCCTCTTGGTAACCTTACTCTACTTCCCATCTCTACGAATTTGCCTAGTCTACATATTTTATGTAAGAAGCATCATACGGTACTTGTCTTTCTGATTCTGACCTATCTTTACAAGGCATATTGTGTTCAAGACCCATAGATGCGGTATCATGTGTCAAACTTTTATTGCCTCTTATAACCAGTAATGCTTTATTTACTATGCAGCAGTTTTGCTAGTAACATGGATGGAATATTAATGGTTTTCTTGGCAAATTCATAATGACATGGAGTTGGTGGGGATATTAAAGTTTTAAATGTTCCAAATAGAGATCGAAAATAATTATTGGATAGATTGGGTTCATCAAGCTGTCCGAATGACTGATGTGAAATTCCATATGTGTTTCTCACGCAGTAGTGTCACTGTAAATGAATTTGATGTGGTTCAGTTGCAACATGAAAAATACCTGATAGTCTTCCATGATGGTGAGGCCACAGCCTGACTCGGGCTCTGTTAACAGAAGTATAGTGTACTGAGCATGGACTGTGATCCAGCCACAGGGCTGTCTGTGGCTGGGTACCACCTTATCTTAGGGATAAATATTTAAAATGTGTGTATTTAAGAAAAAAAACAGGATAATTTTATGGGATGATAATAGCCACTCACTATTAGATTCCCAAGCTGGTATGAGTGGAGGTCTACCTGGATGCTCAGGTCCTTGTCACATGATTTATATGAGCCGACTGTGATGGGCACGTGGAGGTACATGGTTAGAATGTTTTAGCACCAGAGTTTCCAAGCAGAGGGATGGGGGTGAATATGCATAATACCTTGTGAATCCTACACATTTGAGTTTATAATAATAGAACACTGCACAGTTCTGAGTTTAAAGTGTTCATAGTTAATGGGACTGCAGAAGACTTGTTTTCTGTTATGGATGTCTGTATGTAATTTTAGCTTTTATAGTGAATATATATTACTCTATAAAAAGCAGTTATAAAGCAACATTCTTGTTTTGCAAACAAACGATAATACTTGAAAAACAGCAACAACACAAATAACTGAGCCTGAGCATGCGGCTCAGTTGGCAGTGTTTGCCTAGCCCTGGGTTCATTGCCCAGCCTTGCATAAACTGGGTGCGGTGTGGCATGCCTACAATCCCAGCAGGAAATGAGATAGGAAAATCAGAAGTTCAAGGTTATCCTCAGCTATATTGTAAGCCTGGGGTGCATGAGACCCTATCTCAAAAGACCTCCTGTGTACTACCAAGAAACGTGCAGCCTGTTACTTAGTGTAAAATATAACAACAATAAAACCTAAGTAAATAAATAAATATCTTTTTAGTTTGTGTCAGCCTTTTCATATGCTGGGGTTCAGAAAACAATATGCTAAGGTTTCTCTGTCCATCTCATCTTTCTCCTGTGTCTTATTGCTTTCCCATCTCTCCCAAGGCAAATCACAGAAACTAGAATTCATTTCTCTTCCTCAAGGGAGGTCACAGAAACCAGAACACTTTGTTCCAAAGCCAGCCTTAAAACCTAGAGGTATTACCCTAATCCCCCTGCCCGTCTGTCCTACAGCTTGCCATAAAGATACTGTCTGACCCTCCTTCTCTGATAGCAGATCATACAACTCTTTCGCAGGGGTCTTGTATCAGCTCTGGGAGGGGAAGTACTACACAGAGAGGAAGCACCAGGCCCAGACCCTGCCCAATAGCATTCCATCATGCCTTTTTGTATAGTCATAATTTTACACAGCTGTCTGTGCTTTAGCAAACCCACACGTAAAATAGTGTGCGGTTCTCGTTTGATCTTTGGGGCTTCAATTTTGTAAAATCATGATCGAATAGCATGTGTTCTGCTTTTTTCCTGTTGGCCCATCTTCAAGGAATGTCAGTGGTCACTCTTTGTGACGGGTAGGAAGAACCGTCCTCTTTTCTGTGCCTTAAAGTACCATCAGACCTGTGTGCGCACATGGAGGTGGGACTTGGCTAAGTGGGTTTTTCTTTTGCCTTTGGCTTCTTTAGTGCTAGAGAGAGTCAGGCTTTGGCAGCTCATTCTGCTCGCTCAGAGTTACCTTCAGTCTCCGGGTTTGGATTATTAACTAACTAAATAGGATATCCTGACTAATTTTTGTGATTCATTTCCTCCCCAACTGCCGCTGCCTAGAATGGCTACAATGTCAGAAGGCTGCTAGTTCTAAAAGGAAGTGAGGGTGGGAGGAAATGGTCATTTCTCTTGTGAAAATATTTGCTACTAACACAGCCATCTTTCGCTGTCCCTCAGATGTCTTCTGCTCCATCCCGCAGAGACCAAGGGTTGGCTTATTGAGAAAGCAGGACTGTGACCCACTCTTGCCTTCTGTGGATGTTTAGGGAAAGTGTTGCTAAGATACTTCAGTCAATAGGTTGTAAACGAATCCCCAAGCCACACCTACTTCCTCCGCTGTTAATCTTAGTAAATGTTAGTTTAGGATTTGGGTTATTTAAATGGTGCAGGCCTCTTAATTTCAGTTAAATTTTTTTTTTAGCCGGGGTGTTTCATATATTTATTTGACTCAGAATTTGAAAACTGAAACTATGAGTCAGGCAAGCAGCAGATTGGTGTGAACATCACCAAAGCTCCACAATGTGGCCGGGAGCTTTGAGTATATATAGCTCTTTTTCTAAACCATTATTAGCAGATTTTCCTGTTTATTTAAGAGGCACAGCAATTCTGGCTTTGCTCTATATGCACAGGATGGGCAAATAGACTGATAGAATGAATAGAACTTGTTACCCCAGATCAATTTTCAGTTTTTCCATACTTCTCCAGGTTGCTTTCAAATGTCAGAGCCAGGCATGGGAGCACTTGCCTGTAATCCCAGCTCTTGGAAGGTAGGAGCAATAGCAACAGGAGTTGAAGGCCAGGATGCTATGCCCTCTTTCATAGCAAGTTTGAGGCCAGCCTGGGCTACATGAGACCCTATCTTATGTAGCTATTATACATAAGATATTATGGGCAAGAATACATAAGAATTATATTATACCCTGCCATCCTCTGGAAAATTATCCTGGCTTATAGTTTTATAATTGACCTTTTCTGTTTCAGACAGGGTATCATAACACAGCCCAGGCTGACTTTGAACTCTCAATTCTCTTGTCTTTGCCTTCTGAAGCTCTGGGATAACAGGGCTGTGCTGACATGCTTGGCTCCTTAAATTAGATTTTTTAACTGATACATAAAAACATCAAAGCAGAGAGTGAGGAGGGTTATATGGGGGAAATGTGGTAATTAAATTATAATCTAAAAAAAAGACACCCCACATCAAAGCAGTATAGCAGGACTCTCATATACTTTTAAAATCTGTACTATTTTGTCATCTGAGAGACTTTCTAATATGTCTTTTTGCCTTTGGTTGTTTTAGGCCAGACATTTAGGCAGTCCCAGAGGTGGATAGTTTTGGGCATTGCTGCTTGATGCCAGCATTAAGCTGTTTTGTGTCTGATATACTATGGCAGGGGGAGATAGTGTTCTGTTAGTTTTTAATCAAAATGGTTTTCTGGGCTGATTGTCTTCA